CACAAGGTAAGTGGGGAATCTTTCTGCGTACTGGTGGCGTACTCGACTTATGATGAGCGCAGCACGCTTGTCTATCGTCGAGCCGCGAAAGTAGGAGAACATTTGGGAATACGAATGGGACTACCTATGCATTGGGAAGACTCTACCCTTCAGATACTCACGGGGTGACAAGAGGGCTTTTATTTCCTGCTCGATGGTACGTGGACATTGAATCAGGACAGGTGGTGAGGGGCCTAAACCCAAGCTTAACGCAACATGAGATGACCAGATGAACCGCGCTAACAAATCTCAAATAATAGACCCTCGAATAATATGGCCCCGCAGCTCCTTGACATCTTTCTACCAAATGAGCGCGAATGTCGCAGCGGCATTCTCGTGCGCTTTCAGTTCAGTTATCCTCTTGGAAAAGAGACAAATATCCGTACTTAAGCCCCATCGCTAAGAGCGAGTGCTGTGCTCTCTGATGATTTCGGCTTACACCAAAAGCGAGGGTAAACTTCACTCCTCGCTCCATGGAGTAAAAACGGAGCAACTACGGAGAGGGTCTGCAGCGTTGGGGAATCAGGCGTCCAACTGCGCCCTCCCCTCCTTATCCGAAAACGGGCCAGTTTTTTAGACTTTTTTCTACTGGGGCACTTCCGTTTGGGAATTTGTTCAAAGGGGTGCTTCGACTTCCTGAACACGAAAATCTTACTTGCTTCGCAGGGAAGCGCTTGGCGCCCGGCCACAAGCGCCAGCATCAACTTTCTAAATCATCACATTTTGTGGAAACTTACTATAAGAAGCAGCTTTAACTGCTAACCCGAATATGATATCTGCATCTGGAGTGCCAATAAAGTTGAGGAGGGGCTAAAGAGGAGGTGCTACACGTGATAAACGTGATGATAACGCGGCCTACTTCTGCTCGTCTGCAGATTGTGATCCCTTCCTCTGCTAAGGATGGGAAATAGCCCCTCAAGAATGGCGCTATATTTGTTAGGTAGACAACGGAATCAGTCTTATTCAGTTACGATAGCTGTTTCACTTGCAAAAATGCCTCCTGCTCCGCACCTTTGCGCAGGATATCGTCGCGGCAAAGTATTACTGCACGATGTACCCACACCTACAGTGGTTTGAAGGACATAAATAGGACAAAATAAATAGATAAAGTCTGATTTCTTACCCAAGCGTGAAAAGCACTAGCCAAGTTTTCAAGCCTCCCGCGAGTGATTACCAGGGGTTTGCAACCGTCAAAGAAGTGCCGCTTTGCAGTTCTAGAATGTACAGGAAGTTGAGAGCTCAGGGTTAGGGCCGTTGAGACATGCCTTTCAAAGCTGCCCTAGTCGTGGTGATAACTGCTGTACTCGCCGCCTCGCCCGTCTTCTGGCTTGTCTCCTATCCTCTTCGTTGTATCATCCCCCTCTGGCCTTGTAGTTAATTTTGTCTATGCTACCTTCGTCCAGTAACCATGGGCATAGGTAACAAGGAGCACCTTATTGAGGCCGTTTCTCCTGTTTCCTTCCTTGCTGCTGAATCGGCTAACTCAACTCAGTCCTACTCGTTCGGTTCTAAACCCATCGCGAACGCACCGCCATCGCAGGATCTGACGGTCTGTCTCTCGTTCCGGGTGCAAAGGATCCGGTATCAAACTGCTAGACCTGAGTGGCCTAGTTTGCCCTTCGGAAAACCACAAACACCATACATATGTTTACAGCTGTGATAACAACACTAACAATGCTAATGAGGCGTGCTGAAGCGGGACTTCCGGCCTCTGGCTGTAGTGCAATCGGCTCCCTCGCGCAAATCACACGATTTACCCACCAGTGTTGGTGTACTTTTCCATTCAAAAAATAGAAACCAGATCTCAGATGTGATGAGGGGTACAAAATTATTCTCCGGAGAGCTTTGTTTTATTCAGATCCATGAAGGTGAATGAATACAAGAGAATTATATCACTGGGATTAGTCATGCCCTTTGCGCTCTTGTGGGTTTCTGTGCTAGTATAACTTTGGAAATACTTTTTGATGTGAGTGCTGATTACACTTCGTATGTACTTATTTGGTCATTGAAGAAGGAAGAACAGCGCTAATAAACTGTTTTCGTTAGAATTACCACCGATTGATGAAAAATCTAAGTCGGACAAAAACAGGAGAATGCAAATGTAAAAGACATAAAAGCATGCAGTGGCAGCCAGATTCCGTAGACATGACGTCACAGCACTGTAACTGGCATTCGGATTTTCTTTTAAATAATTGCACGGACCTTTTGTTGCAATGCCGATGTGAGAGCCGATGCAGTTAGAGCTGCTATTATGCACGTTTGAGGGTTAGCCAAAGGCAATTGTCCGCTCACCTCTTTTAATCCTGGTCCTTGCTATGTGGCGAATGAGTCCGCAAGCGAATACTGTTTCCAGACTCCGCCCGCGCTATCCTCAATGTGCAGCACTTGCTTTGAAACAGATCCCGCAGCGAAACACGTATTCCAGGGTAGAGTAAACGGGGAACTCATATTAGGATGCTACTCAGAGATTAGTAGTCGCGTGGTGTGGCTATTGTTGCAGAGCTGTGGCTAGCTGGTCGGGCGCAGCGCAGGTTGTTTGATACTCGTAGTCGTCCAGGAATTATCTCATAACTCAAAGCCGTAGCACAAGCATTTGTGACCGGAGGTAAGGTGATGTGATTGTAGAGGAGGACTGCAGTTTTGTCGTGTGGAAGACCGGGGTGGGCCCGCTCACTTCACACATGGCTAGCTTGGATCCACGTGGCTGAGTGTACAGTTGCCTTTAATCAAGGAAGAATGAAGGGAGGTCCGCTACAGGCCGGACTTGATAACCTGGATTGTGGTACTGCGATTTTGGGCCTTTAGCTAATGCTCCACCATGTCCGTAGATAGAACTGGAACAGGCCTCAATTATCATAAAATGGTTTGGAAGCTTTCAGTGTTCATCAGTCCTGTCTAGGAGTGTGCCGTGCATTCCGTTTCTACGTAAAGTAGAAACTGGTAGCACATTCAAGTACAATACAGACTTTACGAAGGCTCGGGTGTAAACATTCGTCACCAGTGGACAAGTCAATTGTTCCATCTTTCCACGCAAGTCTGGAACCAACCATGCAACCACAGAAAGATGAGACTCGTGGGCCAGGGCAGGAGTTTAGCCGAGATTTGGGCTAATCATGAGCGTTAGCGCCACCCATGCCCTTCACACACTTTAGGGTGAATAAGAGTGTAAAAGAAAAAATAGTCGTAATGGTTGCATTTACCTTCTTTCCTGAACTATCAGGCGCATTTACATACATTACATTTTTACATTTTCATTTTTTCATTTATTTATTTGCAACGGGCGAAAATATTGTGATTACAGCAGTAGCTTTTCCGCCATTTTTTTATATTTTACACTTCCACCTGCCTGTGAAGCCCTTGTTGTTCAAAAAATGGATCACAAGAACGCTCAAAAATATATACGCTTGGAGAAGAGGTATGCCCTAAGGGCATAGCAACATCACATCCCAGAAGGTAGAGTCTGCCTTATACACAGAAACCCGCTCCCTGTAATTCAAGACCGATTTCTTATAGGTGGGTGACATATGAGAACGTCATCAGCTGATAAAAAACTAAACGGAAGTGCATTCATTGGAAACCACACACTGCTCCTAGATATAATTGAATAGTGTTGCCGTTGCCCAATCCAAAGTACGCTCCGCTTTTCATTTGTTTATTTTTTATTTGTTATGCCTCATGGTTCGCTTTTGGTTTCTTTATACATCAAAAATCTATTTACACTTGAATAATCCCCTTGAACACATATCGGGACTCTTTATATACAGTCTCAGTCACTCCCTAAGAGCCTGCGATATGTCAAACGCAATGAACAGAGAATGAAGGGAAGAGGTTGGCAGGAGCATATAAAGAAGCGTTGGCTCCAGGGCTAGTGTGTAGTATTGTGTTGCTCATAGATAGAAAAACAGCTAACACAGGACTTCATCCTGCAATTCTTCCCAAATGAGGTGCTCATCATAGCTTTCTTGCTATCCGCATACCCTTCCTCTAAAGACACTACTTCTCCCTAATTGCAATCTCTTTTGACCCTGACACCCCTTTCGCAGTGTCCGAGGAGGCTTTTGCGACACCCGGCGAATTTTCCTGGATTCTGCCTATAAGGAGCGCAGCGTATCGCACAGCTTGGTCATTAGCTAAACGCCCGGCTTAATGCCGTTATCGGTCTACGTGTCTGGCTTTCTAATGGTTCCAATTGTTCTCGACTTTTTGCCTACTGAGATAGGCAGGTGGCCGTTCGTCCTCCTGCGGCATAAGATAGCGCTTGGCCAACGTCGTTCTTTATATATCGTGGTGGGTTTGGGATGCGTCATCCACTATCACTATGCCCATTAGCTTCATTTCCAGTTGCACCTGTACGCGCACAAGCTTAAATCTTAATAAGTGTGCAGCAATTGCCTAATATCATTTTTTGGAATAGAGATGAGATGCTCTTGGGAAATTAGAAACAGTTTTCACGCAGTTTCATTTCACGTCAAAAAGTCCATCCATCAGGCCTCCATGATGGGACTATTCACTTGACGGCTCACTCCAACCATACTAATCTAATGGATTATTAATTATATTATTTTATATGTGTATGATTGATAGGCCAAGTACGCTGAACTGAGAACTCATAGAAAATGCTTATTTCCTCGAATCTCTACATGTCCTCTTATTCTTTAACTATGTGCGACATAATTATCTCACATGCTCGATTACTACGGCTGAGATTGTAGCAACGGAGATTTGTCTGGTGCTACGCCAGTGGATTCAAAGTTCTGCTTGGTTGTCCGGCACAAAAACTAAACTGAGGTGGTTCCGATGTTCATAGTGGGTCGAAAAAGAGCTCTCCAATGCATTTCTTGGCAAGGCTCCATACCGACGTTATTCAAAGTATTCAGAGGCTGTGGAATAGAACTGCAGGTCTTCCCTTCCCTCCCCTCCCCTCCCCCCCCCTCCCAGTGACACATTTCTGTCATTGCTAGATGTTCGAAGATTTCTGTGCAGGTTAGGGAAAGCCGGAACTTGTTTCATAATTACTCCAGTCTCACGCTAGCTGGACAGAGTGCGTATTCTGAGGACCGGCGTTGGGTTATGCTATCTAACGAAGCGCCTGTGGAAGACTGATGTAGAAGTAGAATGTTGGGTTGATGCAGAAGAATGAAGACAGTGAATGAAGTCAAAGCAGTTAGTGGACCACAAACTATAAATAATTAACGACAAGAAGGTATTTCATGCGGATGTTGCCGGATTACTCGAGAAGGAGACTCGTAGTAATTTCTCTTGGAAATGCACCTCAGAGTTATCTACACCGACTAAACAGCTCACTATGAAGTTGCACAAGGATGACGTATTGTAGCTACGGTATCACTTGAAACAAAACCCATACTACGCCAAGAATCGTGGAAAGTCGAACGTTTAGGTGTTTCGCCACACTCAACAAGTCCCGCCCTAATTATGACCACCCCCTCTTCTCCCAAAATATGCTCTTTCTCTCACAAAGGAAAGTAAAGGTAAAATCACAGACTGCGGAAGGTTTCTATAAAGCTGCGAGCGGTGCTTTCGGAAAGCCCAAGACAAAGTGGAGAGGATTCAAATAATTCGCTTTCTACTGCTTACGCTAAAGCAACTACTTTCACAGACCTCCATCTGCAACAATTTTGACAGCTTTGTTAGTACGCAGTAAGTTGTCTTCAGGAATAATAGGGAGCGATTCAAGCTCTTTAGAGGGAAAGACTCGGTTACGCCATGCACTTGCGCGCTTTCGGAGCTGTAGAGATGTATGTGTCGATATGCTGTCTGACCCTTTTCAGTGTCCTTTTTCCTACAAGTTCTCCTATACTTTAGTTCGGCCGTTTAAAATAGTAAACTGGAACAAGTTCCTATTCTCATTTCAAGTGATAGCTCCAGAAAAAGGAACAAATGACAAAGAACATCCTAATTCAGATATGAGACAGAGAAAGTAGATTCTACAAATAAAATATCCATTTAACATAGATGTAGTACGAAAATCGATTCAGACGAATTCATTATTTTCAGCGCCCGCGGACTCACCTGTTCATGTGCTGATTGATACGAATCCTTCCAAGGTGAGTAATTTTTATGTACCTGCAACTTCAGTGGAACCTACTTATCTCTGGCAGTATTTATAGGGAGTGGCGCTCGCTCATAGGTTTCTTAGGAGTTTTGATAGGCTTGGATACTCAAACTAAGAGTCCATGAATTGGAAAAACAATAGAGCTCGACGAGCTAAGTCAGGCGGTATGTGGGATCCCCGGTGAATCTGCAGAATCAATGGGAGACTGCCCGGGCTCCCAGGACCCAAAGAGAAGAGGAGGATGACAAGTAGTTTCACGAGCGTTAAAGATGTACCCCTTATAGTGGGCGGTGTCACAAAACTACAGTCTATCGTAGCCCGCTCGCTGACGAAATCTTGAGAAAGTCGTTTGGTTGTACCGAAAGAGGAATTTTAGGGAGTGGGGCTTGGGGAGCGTACCTAACAAGGGTTCCTCAGCGGCAGGACCTGTCCTGCGTGTGCTGTCCATGACTTTCGTTGCTGCAAAAGTATGGGCACGAGAATGCCGCGTCACGTCTGCGTGTATGCACCCACCTGCTGGGAAAGCGTCCACAAAACCTTTGGTGCTTCTGCCGACTTAATTTTAAAAGGAATTCGATTTTGAGTGGGCAAGTTGCTCCACCCATTCTAAGGTAGCCTAAGGCCACGCGGCAAGACGATTCTTAAAGGGAACGTGTCGCAGTCACTAAGCCGCGTCCTTCGCAGCTACCTCTGCCCTGGTTCTTTAACCAAAGTGTATATTCGGCTGTTTGGGTAATCGGAATGTGTTGACCCATCGATAGTTCAGATGAATTTATTGATATTTGTTTTAGTCCTTCTTTGTGGGCCCGTACGACCGTACCAGAATCGATTTGGTTGAGCAGTTCCATCCTCTACAAACTGCTTCATTTGCCCAAGGTAAAACATGAGCATCACGCTTCAGATGGAATATCAAAAGCAGAGTGACAAGGAAACTAAATGTGTTATTTTTAGGGGAACAACTCCAAGAATTAAGAAGAGCTGCTGGTGTGAAATCTGTTACAAGGGAACCAACTTTTGTCGAGGCAAGCCCTATCGATTCTGAAACACGGGACGACAATCAAGTCAATACTGAAGCTTCTCGACCTTCACGGCGTTCGTTTATGATCTTTTGAAACATAATATTTCTTTTAGGAAAAAAGATGTAGATATTTTCTACTGGATGCCTCTTTAGGTACATAGAGTGGGAGTTAGACCGAGTGACCCCTAGGACCACATTTTCGAAGTTTGTAGTAAATTCCATATTCCAGCGAAAACTTCCTCCCGAAGGCTGCTTGGTTCCCTGAACATTCCAGTCGTTTGACACATAAAAGCCAGGCGGTCTCGCTTGCAAGACTTTGGGTCAGGACAACTCGTACAAGCATGTTCGCTAGCCCCTAACCCAGCACACGGTGAATCGCTCGCAGTAGTTCGTTTCTTTGAGAACGGCTTTCTAATCCTGTTTCTCGGGAAAAGGTCTTTGGCCAGCTTCTCATGCGTTTGGTTCCAGGATTTCGATTCATTTGGTCTTGCTTTGCTGCAGCGCCGTGCTATGTCCATCTAGGACCCATTTCATAGCGAGGAAAGCAATAGAGAAATTGAGTCCTCGATTGTGACGAAGTGCGAAATTTACAGCTTGCCTACGCTGGCTCAGGATGGCTAGGACTTTGGTCAGATTCGTCGGGCTTGAGCGGGGAGCGGCACATATCAAGGTATTTACCCAGATTAAAGTTACACAAAACTCAAGAGACATGTAGAGGTTCCGATGCTAGGAACAAGGCGATCCTAATTAAAGGATTCCTATTGAAAGAACACTCCGGAATTCCCACATATTCTTACATGACAATATCGAAAAACACACAACAGAGTGATCGTCAGAATATCATGATTATTTTAAAAGACTTTATTTATTTATTTATTTAGTACGCTGTTTAAGACAACGCTCGATATGAGAACAAAACTAAACATAAAACAAACAAAATAAACACTACAGCAATGAAGAAACATGGCACCTACGCACTGAGAACTTGCTTAGCTATGGCACGTTTGAAGGAATTCATAGAACCATTAAACAATGTGGTTTTACCCAACCGTAGATACGCGAGACCCGCTCTGATAGTGAAGAAATTGCGCCTAAGGGTTGTTTTAGGGCGCGCAAATGATAGCTTATGCTGACCACCTCTGGTTATGGACGGAATAAGGGTGTAAAATCGAGAAAAATCAAGTATGGATTTGTCCTTCAAGAGTTTATGCAAACATACATAAGTCGAAAAGGGTCCGCTGGAATGATAGTGAGGGTAGACGAAATATTTGTTCCATAATTTCCCGCTTTAGGATTTTTAGCATACAAGAAGCACCTAGACCGGATTTAAACATCTTTCTGGCGAAATTATTTTGTGACTTTAGTTCAATAGAGGCCACGTCCTACTTTTATAAAGGGGCAAAGAACAAACCGTTCCCGTCTTTCTACCAAAAGGCCGACATAAGATCCTGTAAACTCTAACAAGCCACTCCATACATAGCCGCGGTTAGTTGAGAGCCTTAGAATATGATTACAATAGAGCTTCGATTTAAGGCTTCTTGTATATTCAGTGCTTGTAGTGCAGGGAAGTCAAAGTTGCGTTATTTGCATAGGGAACCAAGATCCTTACCTGACTTCACCGTGCTAATCTCTTTCGTCCGATCTTATGATTTTTTTAAAAACACTGCATGAAGAAATGGCAGCTCCTAGCTGAGCTGAACTGGACCGGTGGTGAGATACGTGGTGGCCGAAACCGCTCTACTCATACGAAGCTGGAATAGACCTTAGAATGGGGAAAGTATCGTATTACGCGCTCAAGTGCACACATAGTTAGGCTTTATCCAAATATAGGGGGAAAGGTTTTCTAATTCACCGAGATCAAAAACATCACCTGGCTGCCGTTTAACACGGTAGGGGGATTAAAAGACACACTTTCTTGTGATAGCATCATCAACAATTTACATTCCACGGGCAGGTATAGGGGTATCCAAGGTGAAAGGATCCTGAGGTTTCCACCTACATGAAGAAGTGAACCTCCAACACCTGGAACGCGGGAAAGGCATAGTCTCATCATCGCCGATGACCCCGATGAGGTCTCAGAACCTCGTAATCCATGTTAGCATGGAGCAGCTGCGTAATTTCCAGATTTAGCCCCTCGCATGCAGATTTCTGCTAAGGACTGCCACTATAATTTTGGAGGACACTACCCGAGAAAGAAAGGCACGCTCATAGCCCTATAAAGCTGCAACATACCAAACCGGGCACCCACGCGCCCGCCCGCGAATGGACGACCGTACCTGATGCTCGTATCGCTTCATTTGCGAAGTACAATATGAAGCGAAGGGGCTGATATGAAGCGGCTGCGGTGCTGCATGGATATATGAGTACATACGTGCAGCCGCATCTACCGTAGCGGTTGTTGGCAGATGCCTACGGGAAACTCGTCCGAAATTGCTTTCTGAGTCATGAAGAACGAAGGCTTTTCTTCGCAGGTTTTTGACCGTTTCACTTCGTTTTTTCGCCATTTTCCCCACTATAGGCACCCTGCTAGCATTTTAGACCGAGTTCCAAATTATCGTGCCATATGCCTTTAACGTTCTAGCTATTCGAAGCATCAGTAATACTGTACCCTCGAGTTACCCTTAGCTCAAGTCAAACCGAATGAATCTGCGATTCTGTAATCAAATAGTTTTTTAGGGTTAGTCTTCGGTGAATGGAGTCAGTGGACCGAATGGACACCATGCATCAATGGAGAGAGAAGCCGTGTACGTGCATGTAGCTCAAAACGGGCAGCTCTACGAATTGTCTGTCATGGATCGGCTAAAGAGGTTAGCCAACATGCGCCGATTCCATGTTTTCCTATGTCAAGCAAGGGGAAAATCACAGCCGTCGCTTCACGCTCAATTTTCGCGTCACATCCAGCCGACCTTTGTGCCATTGGATGGCGGTTTACGGTCATTGTGTGGGGAGACGGTTAAGTTTTTGACTTCCTGTGTGACGCGTCCTTCACATAGAAGTGAAAAAGGAGGGCGCGCCAATGAGTGTGGTACAATGGTTGCCTGCCTTAGCTCACAGGATTGGAGCTGACTGTGATACGTAATGGCGAATTGTGTGCAGGAATTAGTGAGACCTCTTCCGGCCAACAATCTGGGGAGTGCGATCGCCTATCGAACGCCTGTAAAAGTGTAACTGGTACCGTTGCAATCAGTCGAAGCGGTATAAGGAGGCGTGTAATTAGTCCACTGCTGGCTGCCTTTTCTACCAATAGCGATCAATCAGTTCAAGATCAGTTAGTATAGACACAACCACCCTTGGGCTCATTCCATGCCTTCTGACAGTGAGTATGTGACGATATCAGTTGAACATCCATTTAACAGAGCATTGGACCCACCGAACAAACATACCTAATAACTACAGTAGTGAGTAGAATCAATATAAGCGCTCAAGCTATTCATTCTCTCGGCTAGAGTCAAGGCTGCAAAAAGATTACTGTAATTGTAAGTATGGAATACAATGGTTGTTCCATCACGGTAACCGCTTTTTGACGCCGCAATACACATTTTGAAAGTTACCATAAGTTATGTGATGATTTATCAGCAAAAGTCTCGACACCGGGCGAGACCTGAATGCAGGTCAGGCTTACCGGGATGACATCGGCGGTGAACCGCAGACTAAAAGGTTTCACATAATTTACGTGCCGAAGCTAATTAAGCTGAAAGGAGGAGACCGTGATGAGATAACGGATAGGGTGCTCGTCCTGTGAGCGCGAGGTGCGGGCTCATGTCCCGCTTGAGGTCAAGACGCTTTCCTACAGCTAGATATTTTGTGAATGTGGAAGATTTAGGTCCAAAGGTGCTTCTCTATGGTTGAAACGCATGTGCCTGTCGCCGAAGATCCGTGGTCTATCGAACGTGAAATCAGTGGCAACTTCAAAGTTTGAGAAGGGCTGCCTGGCCGAGGGATTACTGCAATAATTGTGTATTCGTTTTTTCATCAATACGTGCTTTATGTTCCTTGTTTGTTTGTCAACGCTTCAGTTACTGGCTGTGATTATGTCAATAAAAAAATTATAAAAAAATGCGTGAGTGTAGAGCAACAAATGGTGAGTTGAACTGTTTTGCTTCGCGAATTGACTGCTTCCGTGCGGACAGGAACCACTAGTCGTAGCTGTTGCGCTATCTCATTCTCCTTCCTCATTATCTGGGAAGAGAGCAGAGGATTGTTCTTAGTTATTGTTCTTAGGGGGCTTCATGAGCGGCGATTTGACGAACAGCTCTTTCGTCACTTTTTCACGAAAAGCAAGATCGTTGGATTCGAGCCAAAGCACCATGAATGATGAATAACCAACTGACTAGCAACAAGCCCACCCGTAAAGTCTGTCCGCAGTTCGTAAAGTCTGTCCATTGTGCTGCTCACATTGTACGTAAATGAGTCGCTATGCAACGGAAAACAAAGAACCTGTGGTAGTCGTTGGTGTACTTCGAATCAGGGGGCATAGTATTTCAAGTTAGCAATGGGAGAAATGGTGGTGTCTAGTTCGATTCGATTTCAAGTTTTTGATTTTTCGGAATGATTTCGAGTTTCCCAAAGGAAAGTTCTCTGAAAGAGCCTTCCCACCGCAGTTATAATCAAAGCGTGCTTCAAACAATACCAATATTCTTCCCGTCACATATCCTACCTCACTCCTTGGGATCACGTTCGCACAGCTATTGGGACGGTCGCCATGAATTTCCTGACAGTTACTCGAAATCCTCTGAGATCGGGTAGGAGTGGCTGCATGCTTCAACTTGCTGCAGGCTTCGACTTAACCTGAAGGAGTCTATGCTTGGTGAGATATTTTCATCCTGACACAATTGTTGTCGTGTCTCTGTCCAACACAGAACAAGATGACAGTTGTCGGCTTTGTCTGGCTCAGGGATAAGGAATGACAGACAGAGGCAGACAGAGAGGCAGACATACATACCTAGCGGATATAGTAGGATCAATCAAATCAACGCGTATGATACTACCAGTGCGTTGGAGCAGATTGTTTCCAGGTTTCCTCTTCCTCATACAACCGAATCTCCTCCAGAAGAGGGGTACTTGTGAAAAAGAAAACAGTTTTGCAAAATGTCCCACTTCTCTCCTCGTAAAACATCTGCAACGCTCAACGATCATGTTGTCCTCTTCTATTGCTCCAACGAGCTTAGTAGGTGAATTATTTGATGGTCTGGCATTTCGAGTAGTCTCGTAGTGATATGCTGACGGTTTCGTAAAATATAAGCCAGATCTATTATTTTGTAATTGTGCCAGACTCACTTGGATCTTCTCCAGTCTGAGAAGCATCTTTGACGGGTTGTAGGTGGGTGATACGATAAACATTTGCGACTTCTTATGCATTGAGCCATGACTTTCGTAGTGCGCAATCTTTTGTTCAGCTAAATAATGTCGGGGAGGAGAATATCTCTCCCGAAAGCTCTTAAAAATCGCTAGCTCAAGAGATAGTTTATACAGATTTTCGATGTGCGAAATTTAAGCCACGCGAAGGCGCAAATCCTTGCTGCCTTTGTAACCATACTCAGCTGGAAACCTTAGTGCATGTGTCTTCAGGAAGCATCTTTTAGCTGAACTGACTGAACGATGAATTATCATCGTGTGATCTCTTTTGTGTGCATTTGGCTTTCACACTGCGATGGTTGAAAGACCTAACTCTCACATAGTGCTTACCAGTGCAACTCGAGCTTTTGCCTATTCTTTTTTTTTCAAGTTTTCTGACTCTTGGGGTGTGTGGTCATTCTATCGTGGGGTCGTCGCGCCAGTGGGAGGAGCGAGGTGGCGTGGCGGCCGCGCGTACGTGTTTTGTTGCGTGGCGTTCAAATTGTTAAAGGGCCGATGATCCCTTTAATAATTTGCGCGCCAAGCAACAAAATCTCAATAGTCAGTGTTTTCATTTTATGTCAAGTGGTTGTTAGTCCTTTGTTTTGCGATAGGAGTCATTTTTTGTGATTTTTTTATGTGGTCAAAGAGAATGCATTCAGGATATCGCTAGCACATGGATCGCGAAGCTTGTGGGAAGGAGAACGTTCCCTTGTTAAGGAATGATCAGCGAGGGCAGATCTATTTGGAAGGAGCAGACGATGGCAAGCCTACGCATCGTGAAAGTGTAGACGATGCTAGCGGGACGCACACAACAGGTTGGTTCTTCGGATGGAGTAATTGCTGAAGTTATTGTGCGTGGATGATTGTTTCGTTCTGGTACTCATTTATCCATCCCGATCTCAAGGGTGACGGATAATTGGTACGATCACACGGCTTGCACCAGGCTGCGAGACAGCTTTAATGAGGTGCGAAAATTGGTGTCTAGCTGCGAATGACCTCATTAATGAGGTAGGGCTCAGAGGTCATCTTGTCATCCACGTATCTTCACATCAGAGTCAGAATAATCAATAAATCGAAGGAACCAACGAGTGTAGCGCAAATTCTCAAAAATATACTGAAGGAAAGTGTGCACTTATTACAAGTAGTAATCAGGAAATGCTCGCGTCCTTCAATATTCAACTTTCGCACCAAATGCTACGAAATGGCCTCTGGAAATCTGTAAGTGAATTCTACACTGGAAGGGTTCAGCCCACCAAAACAGACACACTTTTTTATCAACAAACTCTTCTCGGCATATTGCTAATATGACCTGCCTTCCTT